TGTATGCATTCTTCATTGGTTAATCTCCACAATTTACATATTTGCTTATATCTCTTGACAGCAATGTACACGTCTAGGCCATACTTGCGATTATCGCCCACGGCTGGCCTTTCGCGATGATACCCCTCGTATCATGGGCCGCATGGCCGATGTGAAGACAAACGGCCATGTCGTTTGGGATCGTAAGCATCTTTTCTTTCTTTTTTAGAGGTTTTTTTAGTTCATACTAACTAGAGTAGTCACTTCGCCGAGTTCCAATGATGAGAGGACCGATTATTTCTCTTCCAAGGATTCACTTCCGCCCTTTTCCCTGCTCACTTCGGACGAAGACCGGGAAAAGAAAGCAGAAGCGGTTAGTCCCGGCACGTACCATGTCGTGATAACACCAGACAGTTTCTCCTCACTGCCAGAGTATACGGACGACGCAGTTGAGAAAGCTAGATCAAATCCCACCAGCGAGTGTAGGACCTCTGCGTCCAGTAGCCCCACAAGTGCGGTCAAGGGCGACTGCAGTGGAGGCGAAGATCCCAATGTGGTGATTTTGAAGACTTTTGAAGATGCTACTCGCCGCTCGCCGTCTAATGGGAAGACCTTGAGGATCTCTCCAACATCGGAGATCTCAGATCCTTTCGGCAATTTGAGTCTCTCTCCAAATTTCGCTTCCCTCCCCTCGCCGGATGTGAAGGTAGAGGAGATGACATTCTTGGATCCGCGTTTTGACCAGCAAAGTCAGGATTCTACTATATTTTCCCACTTCCGTCAGGTCGTATGGCGCCAGTTGTTCCCTCACGACTATAGGCTTGATGATTCTTGTGGATCTGATAGTCACTTTATGACTCTCAGCATGGACTTCCTAGAGCAGGAAGCCACTCGTTTCCCTCCTGTGGGTATTCCATTCTATAGTTCATACCATGTCCGTGCTAACAGGAATAATAGCTTTCCCACGCTATGATGGCTGTATCAGCCCTTAGTCTCTCGCACAGCGGCACAGGTCACAATGTCGATGCTCTACAATATTATCAGCAAGCTTTCCCCTCCCTCCAGGTCAGCCTACGGAACAACGATGATCTTGTTTCCGACGGGCTGTTCCTTACCCACTTCCTACTACTGATATACGAGGTGAGAAGTTCCAGTTGCAATTTCTCGCAGTCCATATACTTACATCCCTCAGATCGCAGCCGCCGAGCCACACGGCTCGAACCTGTGGTCTCACCATATCTCTCGTCTCCTTCACATCGCCTTCCTTCGACGGGCCAAGTATGGCCAAGAGCCCCACCCATTTATCCTGTGGTGGGTGTGCCACATTGACTTGTACGCCCTGTTTAGCGGAGCAGGGACGGGAGAGTTCGTACGAGCCGTTATCGACCACCAGATGCTCCCTGGGTCGGAATGTCTTCTCTACCCTTCTGCCCCAGAGGGTTACAGTGTGATTTACTCCGACGAGCATGAGAGCTTACCGGTCATCATGCGTCTGTACCACGACACGTTCCGGCTAGCCGCTCAACTGGGGTTCTTGGCTACTCGCCTTCGTCACGATAAACGGAACCTGCCCTTTGCAGAGTTCGATAAGAGATCGCAGGAATTAAGCGATCTGCGCCAGGCTTTTGGGAGACTGTGGGAATCCCCTGACGTTGCATTCCTACACCAACACCAGGATAACCTCCCGCGGCGGTCCCGGGAAATCATGCAACAGGTCAGTCCTCGCGCTTTTTACTTTTCGATATGATCAAATAAGAAGGGAAAAAAGAAACTAACTCCTTCTAGTCCGCTACACTATACCATTTTTGTCAACTCTTCTCTTATAGCAGCATGTGGCCCGGACAACGTGTGGAGTCCGAGTTCCCCCCAGACGCAGAAATCGACCACCACGCAACAGAGATCCTGCGCTTGGCCCAGCGGACTACACACACTCGACGAGCTGATCGACACTTCCTAGTCTTCCCGTTGTTCCTAGCAGGTGCTACGGCATCAGCTAGTGGAATGAAGATGATGGCGATGGAACTGATGACTAGCATGGAAGACGAGGAAGACGGCATGGGCCGCAATGCAGCAACGACTCGTGCTATCCTTCAGATTGTCTATGAGCGGCAGTTGGAGCGACTCATGCATATGGGTTATGCGTTGGATGTGGATTGGTCTGACCTGATGGCTCAGGAGGGACTTCAGATGGTCAACTTCGGGTTTTGATTGGAAGTGGTGTTTGGTTTCTTCTCTTTTTCTTTTTCCTTCTTGAATTTTTTCAGAGCATTGGCGCTTACTAGGGCATATTTGTATTTTGGGGACTATGTATGTTAGCATGATTGACGATGGATATTGTATAGAAACGAATATGTGGAATTTGATCTTTGGAACTGCTCGGGCCGACCCATAGATTTAGAATGTAAACATCTACATCAACGAGATCTCTACTATGAGTTAGTACTACATAACTTAGTATGTATGTATGCAAGGCAGCCACTTGTGATGATTCTCGTCACCTGCGGGGTCGGCGTCTCGACTTGGCGGCTACAGAAAATACGGCCTTCTTCATCTTTTCTTTTTCTTTTTCTTTTTCTTCTTACTCTCGGACAATTTCTATGAATAGATGAAATAGCCCCTTTTGCCCATTGCCCCGCATTTACCGTTCCCAACGATCTTCGCCCTTATCTCCGTAATTGGGAGTACCTCGCATCCTGCTGTGGCTGAATTCTGTCTTCTGCAGCTTCGAGCCCAGCAATTTCTCAACCATGAGTGGTAGCAGCCGTGCCCTCCATCCCGAGGAGCTTTTCCTCAACCGCCCAGCTAGGCAAGAATCACCCACCATCGGCCCTTTACGCATCAACAAACGAGACTCGTCATCCCCAGCATCCGCCGCGGGCTCCAGCCCCCCACCAAACGCCCCGCTACCCTATCCGGATGACCGTCAACGTCCCCAGGTGCGCACCTCAAGTTCAGACGAGCGATATCACGACAACATTAGATACGGGTCTCCGCCAGCTGGTCCTGGCTCTGGCTCCGTGAGTCCAAATGAATACCCAACAGCGCTCCGACCGCGGGATGGCCGTGAGCCCCGAGTCGCAACATTGGCCGAACGAAGAGGTGCAGCCCCTAAGCCACTGCCCGAATCTCCTAGCTACGATGCGCCGGATCGCGAGGCCTTAGCTGCCAGACCGTACCCTCGACCCCCGGCCAGTCAACCACCTGGCCCACCAGAGCCACCAACAAACACAAATCAATATGATTACCGTCAGCAATACTACCCGCCGCCTCAACGTCAAAGCTCCACGTCTGCAGCCCGTCCCCCGTCCAGTCTACAGCCCCAACAAGGCCCACTCAATCGCATCAGTTCCACATCGACAACCCGCGCCCAGCGTGGCTCGCCCCCGCCACCAGAGACTCCTGTGGTTGGACCAGGACAGCAGCCTGCCTCGGACATCGAGGCCCGCTATGCTGCTGCTGGCATCGCAGGTACCGGGACCCTGCAGGGTATCCAGTCGCATAACGTGGCGGCACAGAGACGGGCAGAGCAGTACTCCGGACAGCAGCCGACTTTCCCACCACAGCAGCAGCAGCAACAGCAGCAGCAGCCGCGCCCGTGGACTCCTACTGAGCAGCCGGGTTCGCAGCCTCATGGCCCTCCTACGGTCTATCAAGGTGATGAGGTCGTCTCTGATAATAGTCAGCCGGCTGCTGTGCATCCTGGTCAATACGGTAGTCCGCCGCCTCAGATGCCCGGGTCATATGGCAGCCCACCGACGCAGGCTCATCCGGGTCAATATAGTAGCCCGCCGCCTCAGGCTCACCCGGCTCAATATAGCAGCCCGCCCCCTCAGGCTCATCCTAGCCAGTACAGTGGATCTCCATCCCAAATACACCCTGCATCTGGGCCACAGCAGCAACAGCAGCAAGGTCAGCCAGGAAGAGTTCCCCCTAACGCACTGGAACAAGACATGGACCGGATGCGCCTCAGCTCCTCTCCTCCTCCCGCCTACTCGAGTGTATCTGGTCCTTCTGCTTCGAATGGGTACCCCAATGAAAAGCAAAGCGGTGCTGCAGCGGCGGCAGCTACAGGAGCAGCAGCTGGAGCTGGAGGCGCAATGATGCACCCAGCCTTAGTAAACCAACCTAATCCTGCTATAAAAGCATCTTCCCCTGCACCGGCAGTCTCGACGCAGGACCATCCCGCTTTTGCGAATGACCAGAGGCAACAACAGCAAACAGGGCAGTCCCCACAGGCATCTGTTGCTAATGACTTGTCCGGTTTTCATCACCAGACAGTCCAGGTGACTTCTCCGGGGCCTTCTGCTGCAGGTCCAGCATCTCCACCACCCCTTCCGGAGGGGTGGATTGCCCATATGGATCCAAGCTCAGGGCAGTATTACTACATCCACTTGCCCACACAGTCAACTCAGTGGGAGTTCCCGAAGGGGCCCACGCCGCTTAATCTCAATGACACACCCTTGTCCCCGGTGGGAAGTGTGTATAGCGCCCATCCGCTGGTTTCTCCCGGTCTGTCGGCTTTCGGGAAGCCTTTGGCGTCGCCGGGTGTGCCTTTGACCCCTGGTTTCGAAAGTCTACAGTCTCCAATAGTTTCTGGATTCACTGGGCCTCCCCCGAGTAGTGGCGTGGATCTGTACAAAAACACTCCAACTAACGGTGTCTACTTTGGTCCTTATCTGCGTTACACCAATATGGATCTCGAGCGTGGAGTCTGGTTGGGATCTATCCTGCTCGTGACAGATGCCGCACAGCCACCCACGATTCACATGCACCAGAGTCTAGACCTGTCTCCTAACCCGAGACAATTGAAAGCAGTCAACATTGCCGCCCATCAACGCTGGACATTCTACAAGTATGAGATTGATCTTCAGATGGACGATGCGGGTCCTGCAAAATGGACCTACGCCATCACCTCCCACCTTGGCTGCACTCGCTACGAGTTTCTCGTCGCTGGTCGACACGAAACCAACTGGCGTTTTATTGCTACCTCTGGAAATGACTTCTCGCTCAATGTCAATGCTGGTGAGCGGGCTCGTTTGGGTGGCGTCGGTTACATGTGGAAGGATATCATGCAAAAGCACAATGAAATCGGAGGCTTCCATGCCCAGTTATGTCTGGGTGGTCAGATCTATGCGGATCGCATGTGGAAAGAGATTCCGTCTCTCAAGCAATGGTTGACTATCAGCGGAAAAGAAGCTAGAAAGAATGCTCCTTGGACAGCGGCTAACCAGCAGGATGTTTCTCATGCATACTTCCATTACTATACCAGCCACTTTGATCAACCCCACATAAGGGAGTCATTTGCGCAGATCCCCTATGTCTGCCAGATTGATGATCACGATATGTGAGTCGCCCACAAAGCAACAGTCAACGAGCAGCACTAACATATCCACAGCTTTGATGGATTCGGCTCGTATCCCGAGCACATGCAGTTCTCGAACATGTTCAAGAACATCGGCCGCATCGGCATCGAGATGTACCTCCTCTTCCAGCATCACACGACCCTCGACATCCTCCGGAACGTCAGCAACGATATGGACCTCTTCACTATCACCGGCACTGGCTGGCACTTCGTTAAATACCTAGGTCCCGGCGTCGTTGTGGTCGGTCCAGATTGCCGGTCAGAACGAAACCCGCACCAAGTCATGGCCGGTCCCACGTACCAGGGTCTCTTCCCAAAGATTGCAATGCTACCACCCAGTGTGCAACACTGTCTCTGGATGGTCGCCGTGCCACTCATATACCCCCGCCTAGAGACGGCAGAACACATCGTCCAGACCGTCGCAACAGGAAAGCGAGCCGTGACCGGTGCGTACAATGTGCTGGGCAAGGTAACCAGCTCGGTAGCCGGAGTGGTCGGCGCTAAAGACTTCGTGGGCTCGGGCTTTGACTCGGTCAAACGCGCCGTAGGCAAGTCCGGGCTGATGGGTGGTATACTGAGCCCATTTGGCGAATTCAACTCGATGGACGAGCTACGCGACCAATGGACGCACGAGTCGAAGGTTCGTCCCCCCCCCCCCCCCC